TGCCTGTCACAAGGGTAGATAAGACATAAACCACTTGCAGAAGTTAGAGGTGCTGTCCCTAAACTGCAGACAATGCCTAATTGTAGACGTGTGTAGGATGTCTGTCTGGGTTAGAAGGTCAGGATGTTGTTCTCAGAATTCACAGATCCAATCTGCCTGACAACAAGAACACCAATGAGGGGTCAGAACGAGGTCAACAAACCAACCAAGGAATGAGGTTGAAGGACAACACGGCTGACATCAGATCAACCTACATTGCGCATTCAAAGATTGTATATAAGGACTGGGTTGAGGAGATTAGGGGTTCCTCCTTCCTGAAGAAGCTGTGAACCATACTTCTGTTGTGTGGATAGGGCTTCAGATAGACGGAACCCAGAGCTCTGTATTGCTTTTCTTGAATATTGTAATAAATATCTTAAAAACAGATTTGACTTCGATCATTCTTCATAAAAGAACACGCAGGACTGGTTGAGTCCAACACTGATGTCTTGAGATGTTGCTTCAATGTATTCACACCACCTTCCTTCCTCATGATGTCATCTATTTTGTGAAGTGCCCCAGTTCCTCCTGCAGCAAAGCTCCCCACAACATGATACTGCCACCCTTGTGCTTCACAGTTGGGTTGGTGTTCTTCAGCTTGTGAGCCTCCCCCCTTTTCCTCCAGACATAATGATGGTCATTATGGCCAAATAGTTCAGTTTTTGTTTCATCAGACCAGAGGACATTTCACCACAAAGTCAGATCTTTGTCGCCATTTGCAGCTGCAAACTGTAGTCGGCCTTTTCTATGGCGTCTTGGAGCGGTGGCTTCTTCCTCGCCGAGCAGCCGTTCAGGTTGTGTCGATATAGGACTGGTTTTACTGTGGATACAGATACTTTGGTACATGTTTCCTCCTTTGTCTTCACAAGGTCCTTTGCTGTTGTTCTGGGATTGAGTTGTGCTGTTCAGACCAAAGTCCGTTATGCTCTAGGAGACAGAACGTGTCTCCTTCCCGAGTGGTACAATGGCTGAGGTGTCCCATTGTGTTTATACTTGTGTAGTATTCTTTGTACAGATGAATGTGGAACCTTCAGGAGTTTGGAAATTACTCCCAAGAATGACCCAGACTTGTGGAGGTCCACAGTCTTTTCTGAGGTCTTGATTGATTTCCTTTGATTTTCTTATGATGTCAAATGAAGAGGTACTAAGTTTGAAGGTCAGCCTTAAATTACATCCACATGCGCACCTTCAATTGACTCAAATTATGTCAGTTAGCCTATCAGAGGCTTTTAAATCCATGACATCATTTTCTGGAATTTTCCTAGCTGTTTTAAGGCCCAGTCAACACAGTGGATGTAAACTCCTCACCCACAACTTATTTGGTTCCCTAAAGAAAATCATAAATTATTGAAACATGACTAGATCAACTTTATAACCCATATTATCAGGAGGAATATTGAAGAGTTGGCACCACAGATATAGACTGTAATATCAGAACAAAGTGTAATCCAACTTTTATGCTCATGTTTCACAATATTTTTTCTATTTTGTTCATGTTTCACAGTATTTTTCTATTTATTGTCAATTTCTTGTTAATCTGCTGTCTAAAGTCTGCAGCAGCAGCTGCCCACTGCTGGAGTGCTGGTTTGTGCAGGAGAAGGTGGGACGAGGAGGAGGTTTGACCGGAGCCACAACCCAGGAAAAGTCCCTGATTCACATTGGAACCAGCCCAAACAGCCACAGCACAGAGTCCCAGCGGGCTCCAGCCGACATCAGCCCTGATAAAGTCTACTTTATTACTGGTTAGTTCAAAACAATAAAACTCCAATACTTTATTACTGGTTAGTTCAAAACAACCCCGAACAGGATGTGTAACCACATAATTATCTAGATGTGTGTCAGAGTTCCATGTGAGGTTTTACATGCATGTGTGTGTGTGTGCATGAGCCGCAGAAGAGAATGGAGAATTTTAATAGATATACTTCATCATGAGGGGAGGTTTTGCATGTGACTTGTAGCTCTTTGGTTTAAATTTAGTTTTGTTTTTTCACCAAGAAGATAAATGCATCAATCATTTATTCTCAATCCTGATATTAGACTGAGTTGCCATTTTGTCACCTCCTTATTTGAACTGAATAAATTGGCCTTAAACTTGATTTGCCAGCTAGGGATTTCATAGCTGATTCAGTTTAAAATAGGCCTAATATTTACCTCTTCATCATCTCCATCTTTAGACCAAGCTGCTGTTCTCTCATCAGATTCTATTTCCTTTACACGTGAACCAAATGAGCATCTGTGAGCTACTTATCCCATGAATGTTCTGCTCCTCTGTCCTCAGACCCAGCTGCCACTCTCTGCCACCACTCTCTCAACCCTCCCAGAGGCTCCATCAAAAAGCCCCAGTGTGAGATCAACCCCTTCCTGCCACAGCCCTCCACCCTCAAATGGGTCGCCCCGCTCACAGACTCCGCCTTGAGTCCCATATACCTGCAAGCTGACTGGTTTTCCACCGCGCTGCAGGGGCTCGACCAACAGCTAGGCATCTCCAGTATCACTCGTGCTCCCTCAGGAACCAAAGAGCACAGAGGTAATGATTAGGATGATCAAAACTTCACAGTTGATCTGATCTCAGTCATAGTTTGACTCTGTTCTCCTCACTGTCTGTTTCCACAGTCATCCTCAGTGTGACCAGTAAGACCATCTCGGTGCAGGCCAGACTCAGGAAACCAGTGATGCTGGACTGCAGCTTCTGGGCCGACCCTTCGTCACCTCTATCCGGGTCTGGTTTCGCCGTCGAGTGGCGCTACCAGTTCAGAGGTGATGGACGACTTGTCCTGGCTTACGATGGCAAGACGGACCGCTTGGCTGACACGCAGGAAGAGGGGGCCACACTGGACATTGAGGGTTTGCTCAAGAAAGGAAATGCATCCCTGATCCTGCAGGAGGCTAAAGTGCGTCACTCTGGGACCTACATCTGTACAGTGTACCTGCCATACCTCCTGGCTCAGGTGGCAATGGAGCTTGGATAGTTAGTTATAGTAAGCATCGTGGTGCGAGCTGCTGTAACTGTCTTGCTCATAAAAACACAACACAGCTTTACTTCACTTGTGTGGAGCAGAAATAGAGGCAACTCTGAAGATGATGACAGACAGGGGTCACATGGTCACATCCACTAGTAATCAGTCTGTGTTCATGTTAGTGTTCAAGCACTGTTGCCTTATTGTTTAGTATGTGCTTTAAAACAGCACAACAACACACAACAAAAACAACCTTTATTTTTTTGTCGTTCCTCTTTTTTCCCCTCCTCCACTCCTTTCTCCCAGAGCCTCCATCTCTCTCCATCCACCCGTCCCCTCTGCCCCTCACTGTTCCCGGCCAGACTTTGACCGTCCGGTGTGAAGCGTCTGGCTTTGCCCCCCTCTCTTTGGAGCTGAGCTGGGAGTTTAAAGGTGCCAATGGGAAGTCCAGGCCCCTGGGATCAGGGAGTGTGACGGGCCACAGGCAGGCCTGGGACGGCACCTTCAGCCAGAGCAGCCGGCTGGAGCTCGACACATCCAAGCTGGACCTTGACAGAGGAGGGGAAGTCATCTGTGTGGCTGTCCACCCTGGAGGCACAAGACGGGCTAGCGTCGCTCTGAATGTCATCGGTAAGGTAGAAGACACTGTTGTTTAAGAGATTTATGAAGCTGTTTTGGCGACAACACAGACAGAGAAGTCAGATTAGAGATGATAAGGCTGTGAAACGAGAGCAAACATCCGGCCATCCAAGTCAGACAAATGAGAATCAGCTAAGACTTGAGTTCTGTCTTCTCAGGGTTCAGCACTCCCTCCATTGAGGACTCCATGGCGATGGTTGGTGTGGCGCTCGTGCTCTACGGTCTCATCAAGTTTGTCTCCTGGACCTTTACCAGCTCAGGTAGCAAACGGTCCATAAACAACTAGAAAATCTTTATTCATAAATATATGAATCATCTGCATCTGTTTTATTGTGTAAAGCTACAAACATACTTTATTTAAATTTTGTCCAATTAATAAAGCTAAAAATAACACATTATGAATGCTGCACCCTGAACACTGTATAGTTTTTAAAATTAAATCAGTAAGGTATGTCTAATGCTAGATTTTGTTTATTTCACCATGTACAGGTTCAGATGAGGCTGATCAACAAGATAAGGTAATGTTCCACTTCTGTTTTATCACATTGGAGCAGCTCCATTGTGTTTTACATGGCTCCTCTCAATAATAACCTTTTCTTTTATCCATTTACAGAAAGAGAAATAAAGAAGGAATCAACAGATGTGGAAGTGAATCACTGAAACCATCAAACCTGTGGCTTTTAATTCTTGCTTGGGTTTTAGGAGTGAATGTTTCATCATCACTGTTTTACAACTACAACACTGATAAATCTGCAGCAACTTTTATTTTTAGAGTTTTTTTCTATAGATGCAGTGGAACACATGGTTGAGCTCATATTCATTCAATTTAAATAGGTATTTTCACTGTTTTGCTTAAATAGTACTAATAGGTAGCGAGAGAGCGTCAGGGAGGATTGTCTTCCAACTGAAAAGAGGTTCTGCTCAGCCCAAACAACCTATTGTAATGTTTCTTTAATCTTCTACCTTAAAGTGTCTAGTGCTATTACGTTGGCCTCCCACTGTTTGAATATTGTTATTTGTTACAAACACAGGAAAAGATCCAGTACATTTGTAGAATTATGCTCCCCTGTGTTTACAGTCCCAAAGACCACCCACCATCTCAGCTGGTTCCTTAATCTGTCCTGGACAGTAAAATCAATGTCAGACTAAACACACAATCTGAATCCTATTTTTGTAAATTTGTGAAAGTAATTTAAGTATATTCTGAATTTTATTTGGTGTGTGTGTGTGTGTGTGTGTGTGTGTGTGTGTGTGTGTGTGTGTACATGTGTGTGTGTTTTGCGGTCTGG